TCCAAGAGAGTTTTTGTCATTCAAAGTAGTCTTCAGAGACGCCATGTACATTTCTGTGAAATGGCACATTTGGGCATTCCAGGCTTCCTAATGTCAGCCACTGTTTAGTTCAGTGAACATTGATGGAAGTTTATTTGGGGATCAGAGTTGCGAGTGCAAAGACGGAAAACCCAGACCCTGCTCAGGCGCTCACTCGTTGGTAATAGAGACCAGCTTTTGCACCTGTAATACATCAACAGTAATTGCTTTTACGGTTATCAAAGCTCCATTATTCCATTGATATTTTTTTTTGTATCCTTATAAGTAGCCATCCACTTTAACGTTGATACATAAATATTCCTTTTTGTGCCCAGGCTTGAGCACTAAAACCTTTAACCACTCTGACACTTCACTGTTATTTTTTTAAAAACATATTTTATTGATTTTTTACAGAGAGGAAGGGAGAGGGTAGAGAGTTAGAAACATCGATGAGAGAGAAACATCGATCAGCTGCCTCCTGCACACTCCCTACTGGGGATGTGCCTGCAACCAAGGTACATGCCCTTGACTGGAATCGAACCTGCGACCCTTAAGTCTGCAGGCTGATGCTCTATCCACTGAGCAAAATTGGTTAGGGCTTCACTGTTATTTTACCACGATAGCTTTTCTTTAGTAGTAGAAGGTATTACATTTATGTATACAAAATTTACCCAATATTCTCATTAAGCCGATTCTCAAAGAGTAAAGCTTTTTAAAGGCTGAAATAAATGGACTAATTATTCCATACTACGGATTGTATTCATTCGGCAAGTTCTTTTGCCAACACATTTGTTAATGTTGGGGATGAGGGTCATCTTTAAGTCTGACTTCCACTAACCATTGTAAGGATTCAGTAGTGTCTGTAGTAGGACATGAATGACTAATAGAAAAATGGGAAGATGAAGAAGAGATAGCTTTGGGAAGAGATCATGCATATTTGCCTTCCACTCCTCAGTCCAAATTCAGATGGACATCTACCCCATTCCTTCCATGGAAATAGCTCTCACTACATCATCTCCAGTTTAACAAATCCATTGAAGTTTTAGGTGCCATCCTCTTTGTTTCTGCAGATTTTAATACTGTTGCCTGTTTCTACCTTGGAACACACTGGCTGTTGGACACCACAGTCTTCCTGGTTTTCTTCCTATCTTTCTGGTCATCTCTTGTTCTTCTCTGTACACTTGTCTTCTGCCTGGCTCTTCTTCAATGACTGGTTGGATCGTATTCTCTTTTCACTTGGTATTCTCTTAGTCATCTAAGAACATGACTTTGGAGACTAGGTAAAATAAAGGAACCCACGTTTGCGGTTTCTAAGCTACAAACCAAGTCATTGTCTTTCCTTGGGTGTTTCAAGGGACTTAAATTCAGCATGTCCAATGTAAACACTACACAACCCTAACCCCGGAAAGATACCAAGCAAATACCTCTTCCATTGTTCCCTATGTGAATGATACCCATCTCTGTCCAGTTGTGCAAGTCAAGTGTCTCACCAGTCATTGACCCATATCCAGTCTATCACCACCTAAACATTCCTTAAATCCACTCTTCTCTAGCTCCACTATCACCACTTTAGTATAGGCCAAAGTTTTTCAACCTTGGCATTGCTATTTGGGGCCAAGTAATTTTTTCTTGCGGAGGCTGCCCTGTGTGTGGTAGGATTTTTAGCAGTACCCCAGCCTTTATCTACCAGATTCCAGTATTACCTTTCTAGTTCTGACAACCAAAGTGTCAGAAGCACCTTCTTCCCCACCTCCCTAGGTGTCTAGGGTGTTATTACTTCCTACTTGAACTTCAGTATCCTTCTTAATGGTCTCCCTGCATTTACTCTGACTGTCCTGTGGTCCAATTTGCATACTGTCATCAAAAGAATCTTCTCAGCACAAATATGAATGGTCAAACGCTGGAATCAGTCTAAATGTTTTTCAGGAGATAAATGGATAAAACTAGTACATCTATAAAATGGAGCACTATTCAGCAGTAAAAAAGGAACTATTGATACACCCAGCAACTTGATGGGTTTCAAGGGCATTATGCTGAGTGAAAACAAGCCAATATTAAAAGGTTATACAGTGGGGCCTTGACTTACGAGTGTCCCGACTAACGAGTTTTTAAAAATACGAGCCGTCTCTCGGCCGATTTTTTGCTTTGAGTTGCGAGCTAAAATTCGGGTTACGAGCCAGCTTCAGATACCCCACCGCTAGTTGGCGCAGTGAACGTCACAGTGAACGCCACAACATCAGCCCAGCATCACGTGTCTCACTCGTTCACTTTTGATTTGACATACGAGTAATTTGAGTTATGAGCTCCGTCACTGAACGAATTAAACTCGTAAGTCAAGGCCCCACTGTATGCTGCCGGTGATTCTATTGATGTAACATTCACAAAATGAGAAAACGTTAGAGAAAATTTTTTGCCAGGACTTATGGTTGGTGGAAGCATATGACAGGATGTGACCAAGGGGTTTCCTGGGGGTGACAGAATAGTTCTGTATCCTGATTGTGATGGTGGTTATGCTGCAACTTCATATACCTATACTCACACACGTGCACAATATAAAAACAGGTGAAATCCAAATAAGGTCTATGGTTTGATTACTAGTATTGTACCAACACTAATTTCCTTGGTTTTATCATTGTGCTAGATTATATAAGACTAGAGGTCCAGTGCACGAAATTCGTGCACTTGGGCCAGGGGTCTCTCAGCCCGGCCTGTGCCCTCGCGCAGTCGAGGATCCCTTGGGGGATGTTGGACATCCTTAGTGCTGCCGCGGAGGTGGGAGAGGCTCACACCACTGCCACTGTGCTTGCTAGTTGTGAGCCCAGATCAGGGCTTCTGGCTGAGTGGCACTCCCCTTGTGGGAGCTCACTGACTATCAGGGGGAAGCTCCTGTGTTAAGCTTCTGCCCCCTGGTGGTCAGTGTGCGTCATAGCGTTCGGTCATTCCGCCATTTGGTTGATTTGCATATTAGCCTTTTATTATATAGGATGCTATTATGGGAGGAGCTGGGTTAAGGGTACTCATGAGCTCTGTTCTATTTTTGCATCTTCTTGTGAATTTAAAATTTCTTCAAAATGTTAAAACAAAAGACAACAATGTCACATCCAGCTTAAATGCCCTATAGTGATTTTCTGCCCTTAAAAAAAATTCCTGCCCAGCTGGTGTGGCTCAGCGAGGAGATCACAGTTTGATTCCCAGTCAGGACACATGCCGGGATTGCGGGCTCAAGCCCCAGTAGGGAGCATGCAGGACGCAGCTGATCGATGGATGTTCCTCTCTCATCGATGTTTCTATCTATCCCTCTCCCTCTAAAAATCAATTAAAAAAAAAACATTTTTAACAAAATGAAACACTTACTAATTAATTCTTTAAAATATTAAGAAAAACAACCCAATTCCTTAACCTGGCTTATAAGGCTCAACACGGCCTGAGCCTTATAATAGGTCTGAGCCTGTGTCTCCAGCCCTCATTCTTTTCTGTTTTGTGCCAATGGGATTTCTTAATGTGTCTTGTTTCCTCTACCTTGTCAGGGCCTTTATACTTCCTATACATTCACTTTTTTTGTCTTAATTAAATTCTGCACATTCTTCAGAACTTTGGGGGACCCTTTCCTGACCTTCAGGTCAAAATCATTCCTGTCATACAAAACTGTTCTCACACCCAGAGCACACACCTCAGGCTACAGTTCTTTGTACATTGGTATTACTCTTTGATTATCTCCTGGACTGTAAGTATCCTGTTTTTGCATCCATTGTTTTTCCAGAGGCACCAGTACAATGCTTCGCAAGTAGTCGACCTTCACTGAAGGATAAATGAGTAAAAACATAAAAAACAAATTTGGTGTATTTAGAAGTTTTGAATTTATGCTGGAGACAGGCTTGAAATTTTGTAATTTATAAAGGAATTTTTCCATATTTTGTCATCATTATCGTCTGTTAGGATTCTGGTATCTAGTGGCATTTTTGCTATAGTTAACTTTTCTAAAACTCTGACATATCATTTAGCCATTAATGTGAGGAAAACCGAGAATTGAGCATATTTTATTATTTTTCAGTGTTAACGGGAGTAGCCCACATACAATGCTTTATTGGGAGAGAAGAAGTGTTTCAAAAATACTGATTTTTATTTTAAATGTAATGTGACTGGAACCCAGATATAAATCTAAAATGCATCGCCCTAGCTGGTTTGACTCAGTGGATAGAGTGTCGGCCTGCAGACTGAAGGGTCCCCGGTTCGATGTCGGCCAAGGGCACATGCCTGGGTTGCCAGCTCTATCCCCAGTGTGGGGTGTGCAGGAGGCAGCTGATCAATGATTCTCTCCCATCATTGATGTTTCTATCTCCGTTTCCCTCTCCCTCTCTGAAATCAATAAAAAATATATTTAAAATATATTTAAAATAAAATAAAATGTATGCGTGTGACAGAAAGTAAATTAGTAATTTACTGTTTGAAATTGTTGGATGAGTAATTATAGTTAACATAAAATCATAATGATTAATTATATAGTTAACATACAATTATTTCCCAGTAATAAGTATGTCACAGATTGCCTATTTAACATTCTTCCAGACTTTTTTTTTTAGGAATCTTGACAGACCCTTCATCTGGAAATAAGTGGCATTATAAACATAAAGACATCTGTCTCTTATGATTATTCTTTTGTTTTGGGTATATTTCTTTATTATTTTTTATTATCTTTGTTGTTGAAAGTATTACAGATAAATCAACAAACAACACGTACTGGCAAGGATGTGGAGAACAGGGAACCCTAATACACTGTTGGTGGGAATGAAGACTAGTACAACTAGGGGAAAACAGTGTGGAGTTTCCTCAAAAAATTAAAAATGGAATTGCTGTTTGACCCAGTGATCCCACTTCTAGGAATATATCCTAAGAAGCCTGAAACACCCATCCGAAAGATTATTCTTTAAAATTATTCTCTAACTATACAAGCTTTAAAAATATGCTTTGACTACTGTGTAATACTTACTACATTTTTATAATTTTACAGTATATCATAATTGAAGAAAAATGATGGAAGAGAGTGGAATAGAGACAACACCACCTGGAACTCCTCCACCAAATTCTGCAGCAGGACTGGCTGCTGCTGCTGCTTCTGCTGCTGCTACTGCTGCTTCTGCTGCGATGTGTTCCACCCCCGTTCCTTTAGGTACATGGAGTTGTCTAGCATATAGTGTTTTTTTGTTTGTTTGTTTTTTGGTTTTTGGTTTTTTTTTTGGTATAGCAAAGATGGAGTTTTATTCAAGAATAAGTACAGACTCCCACGTGGGGAGAGGGCAAGAATTCCACAGAATGGACTCCCACATAGGGAGGGGAAAAGGGTCCCCGCATATAGTGTGTTTTAAGGATAGTGAAGAGACTTCTCTTTTCTGTGTCAATTTAAAAAATGCATATATTAAAACTTATTTTAATAAGTTTTTTTGGGAGTTGGAAGTCATATTTGTTGTATATTTTAAAGTATACATTTTTTAAATTATGGGATGTGGTCTGTTATATTTAAACATTTTGCAAGAAGAAAGTCATGAAAACTAAGTGAAAGTGTTTCCAATTTTGTCTTTTTTTTTTCCTCTTCCCCTTTTCCTAGCTGCAACCAGTTCTTTTTCTTCTCCAAATGTATCTTCTGTGCAGCCCCTGCCACCACACGCATCCTCTACCCCTCAGCCATCCCTTCCTCCTGTGAGGCCTTCAGCATCATTGCCTTTTGTGCCTCCTTCACCAGTTCCTTCTGCTCCACCACTTGTTACTGCTATACCACCTCCTGTGTCTCCACCAACTGCCGCTGCCTTTAGTAATCCTCCTTTATCCCCCTTCCCAACTTCAACTTCTGCCCCAAGTACTCTTCCATCTGCGCCCCCTTCGGGTCCTCCTACATCAGGATTTTCTGTCGGATCAGCGTATGACATTACAAGGGGACATGCAGGAAGAGCTCCCCAGACACCCCTGATGCCGTCATTTTCTGCACCTCCAGTAACGGGTAATCCTCTCTTACTCATACTTTGAAATAAGTGGTTATAGCTAATGTTTTGTTTTTCAAATAATGTTTTGTTTTTCAAATAATAATAAGATATAATTTGCATACCATATAATTCTCACATTTAAAGGGTGTAATTCATTAGTTAATGTATTTACAGAATTATGCAACCGTGACCACAATTTTAGAACCTTTTAATCACTCCAAAAAGAAACTGCATAACTATTTGCAGTCACTCCCTACTTCCTCCCAAATCCTCACAGCCCTAGGCAACCACTAATCTACTTTCTGTCTCTGAATTTGCCTATTTTGGACATTTTATGTAAATGGAATCTTATTATATGCAGCCTTTTGTAACTGGCTTTTTCACTTGGCGTATTTTCAAGGTTCATCCATGTAGCATATGTCAATATTTCATTCCTTTTTATGGCTGGGTAATATGCCATTGAATGGATATACCATATTTTGTTTATTCATCGGTGGTGGTTTCTACTTTTTTGGCTATTATGAATACCTCTTCTATGAACATTTGTGTACAAGTTTTTGTGTGGACATATTTTCATTTATCTTGGATATGTACGTAGGCATGGAATTGCTGACTTTAAAAACCACTAGACTGTTTTCCAAAGCAGCTCTCTTACCAGCCATGTATAGGGGTTCCAGTTTCTCTGCATTAATGTTTTAAACTCATTTCTTGGACTTTCAGAGTTTCCTATTCTCATGTTTTTGCTATTTAAATTATTAAAATAAAGCTGATGTAACTTAGTATATGATTTTTATATGTTGTAAAACTTAGTAGTACATGATTAGTATATGGACTGTCAGACAAAATTCCAAAATTTTGCCCTAATATTTTGTGCACTTATTGAGAAACATCAAGGTGAAATTTGAGAATTTTTTAAAACTTTACTTAAAAAATTATCAGGACTGACTAGTCCAGGGAGTAGTTTTATTTAGCCTGGTAAAAATTTAAAACCAAATAAAAGCTTCTGTGGGCTGTAAATTGGTGGTATTGTGTCATTTCCTTTTCTAGGTCAGCTATACCTTCTATTGGCCTCTCTGGAATGGTTGTTAGAAACCAATATTAAAACTTCATCCTTGTTATTTTCTGCCTATCATTTCTTATTTTTGGAAACAGCTTTGCTATAATTTTTATTATCCAACTTTGCATATCAACCTTTACAAGTAAATTTTTTTGTAGAGTAAAAGTATTATACCCATGTTTATGTGTATGTGAATTTTCTTTTTGAGTTTAAGTAGGGTATAGAGCAGTGATGGCGAACCTATGACACGCGTGTCAGAGGTGACACGCAAACTCATTTTTTTGGTTGATTTTTCTTTGTTAAATGGCATTTAAATATATAAAATAAATATCAAAAGTATAAATCTTTGTTTTGCTATGGTTGCAAATATCAAAAAATTTCTATATGTGACACGGCACCAGAGTTAAGTTAGGGTTTTTCAAAATGCTGACACACCGAGCTCAAAAGGTTCGCCATCACTGGTATAGAGAGTATGTGTACTAATTGTTATATGCTTTTATGTGATAGGCTTGGGTGCTTACACTAGTGATTATTATGCACTAAACAGATTAGAACTATAGCTGACCACATCCAAGTGCTAAATAGAGTAAATGTGAAGTACTTTTTTTTTCTTGTTAATCCTCACCTGAGGATATTTTTTCCATTGCTTTTCATAGAGAGTGGAAGGGAGGGAGGGGGAGAGAGTGAGAGAGAGAAACATGGATGTGAGAGAGACACATCAGCTGGTTGCCCTCCCATATGCCCCTAACCGAGAGTGGTGAGTGAACCTGAAACCCAGGTATGTGCCTTTGACCAGGAATCCAACCTGTGACCCTTCTGTGCACGGACTGGCATTCTAACCACTGAGCAACACTGTCCAGAGCATGAAGTACTTTTTGCTTGTTATTTTATTTGTACATTTTCAGGACAATTGGTGTAAGCCTATGAAAAAAAGAAATTTATTTTTTGGAATTTTGTTTCATTTGTATTTTATAAAATAGTTTTAGGTGATTCTTTGAGTTCATAACTCAATCTTGAAATGCCTGGGTATACAGATACATTATTTAAGCTTTTTTAAATTGCTCATCTCATATATTGTATCTTCTTTTTATAGGAAATGGTTTATGGAATAAATTACATATATTAAACATTTTTGCCATTAACTAGGTATTTTGCCAGCCCCCATTACTCAGCAAGCCAGTTTGACACCTCTGGCCCCGGGAACTGAAACCACCTCAGCCATTACTTTTCCAGAGGAACAAGAAGATCCTAGAATTGTTAGAGATCAGGATGAAGCATCTGCGAGTGGACTCTGGGGTTTTATCAAGGTGAGCTTATTTACTTTAAAAACCATGCTTAACTTTTATGAAACTAATAGGCATTCATTAGAGAGAATTTTGAAAATACAAAATGGTGTAAGGGAAAAAATGATTTTTATTCTCTTTACCAGTTTTCTATAGTTTCAGTCTTTTGTTTGTGCATATCTATGTGGATGTTAATCTCTTTTTAAATAAAAATCAAATTGGGGTAGTGCATGTGGAGATGTCTTTTGTTTGTCTTTACCTACGGTATATCAGGAATATCTTCCTAGCCATAGCATATCTTCAGAAATTTTTTCTTTCTGGCTGCTTTGCCCTACATGCCATTGCATTTATTTCCCATATTTTATTTTGCTAATGTGATTTGGCATTTTCTAATTGTAATTCTAATCAATAAAACTATGATGACTGCTCTTATATGCAGATCTTTGTGTTCATCTGTTTCATCAGGATTAATTCCCAATGTATGTGCAAGTGAACTTTAAAAATTACTGATACAGGGGTAAGAGATCAACCAAAGGACTTGTATGCATGCATATAAGCATAACCAGTGGACACAAAGACACTGGGGGGTAGGGGAGGTCAGGGAAAGGTCAAGGGGGGGAAAAAAGGAGACATATGTACCACTCTTTGTAATATTTTAAGCAATAAAACAAAATTTTAAAAAAATTACTGATACATATTGCTGTCCAAGAAGGTTATTCCAAAATAGACTGTTAAAGCATTTTTCACTTTGCTAGCAATGATTAATTATCTTGAAGTACAATATTTTCTAATTTGAAAGGCAAAAAAATACCTTGTTTTAATTTGCATTTCTTTGTTACTGAATTTGAACTTTTTTTTCAGATTTATTTACAATTTAGTTTTCTTTTGTGAAATCTCTATGTTCTTTGCTCAGTTTTGAATTGGGATGACTTTCTTAATGAATTCATAAGATCTGATATTGTAGTAAGAATATGCTTTTTGTCACAAAAGTTTCTAAATTTTCAGGAGTCATTTCTATCAGTCTTCTTTCTTTTCAATTTTTTTCATGATAAAAATGACTCTTTCCACTATTAATATATGATAAATGTTTTTCTTTGGTTTCTTTGTTGTTTTTTTAAAATATATTTTATTGATTTTTTACAGAGTGGAAGGGAGAGGGATAGAGAGTTAAAAGCATCGATGAGAGAGAAACATCGATCAGCTGCTTCCTGCACACCCCCTACTGGGGATGTGCCCGCAACCAAGGTACATGCCCTTGACCGGAATCGAACCTGGGACCCTTCAGTCCACAGGCTGACGCTCTATCCACTGAGCCAAACCGGTTAGGGCATTCTTTGGTTTCTTAATTATTTTTTTATACTTGCCAATTTAATGTAGCTATACCTACTTTATTATATGAGGTAGAAGTCAATTTTAATTTTCTTTCAACCACTTAATCGACTATTCCAACATAATATCTCAGAGATTTGATATGTCACCTTTATCTCAGTTACTGAATTGTTGGTTAGTGTCAGCTTCTCAGCTCTGCATTCTATTCCACTGCTCTGCCTGTCCTTGCAATAGTTCTACACTGTTTTAGTTTTTGTAACTATTAATATTCATTGAAAGCCTACTCTGTGCTGAGGTGGGGACGGCGAAGTGTTCGTTGGTGAGTAAGCGAGGTCAGTTTCAGGTCTCTGCATCCATAAAAATACATCAGTATTTGGTTGTATAAGTTTGCTGATTTCTCTGTTCTTTAAAAATTTTCTTTACTATTTTTTCCATTTATTTTTCTTGGTGAAATTTGGAATCGCTCCATGAGTACCCCCCACAATTTCCCACCAATATTCTGCTGGTGGCTTGGCTGCAGTTTAGTTGTATATTGAACATTTTTAGGTATTAGTATGTGGTTGACTGACTTACTGCATTTTTCATGTTTCATGAAGATGGCGTTTTTCTAAGCCGTTTTTTTTCATATCTCTCTCTGCTTTTTAAAGGCTTTCTTTGTATAAGGACTATCACTTTTCTTGTGAAAAGCATGTCATTATGTCAGTTATCAGTTGAATACCCAGTTTTGGTCTTCAGGTTTTATGAATAACTTCTGATGTTCAGCATAAGGTTGGTTGACAGTCTTAAATGTCAGTGTTAACGAACTCATTGTTTTTTCTGAATCACCTTAGCTTAATGGTAGGTTGGAAGAGGTGGAATCATGGTTGTTAGCCAGATGCCATCTTGAGTCATTGCTCTCAATAATCTTTTACCATGGGAGTAGTGGAGCACAGGAGGGAGGTACTCAGACCTGGCTCCTTATTTCTAATATGTGGTTTTAAGAATCAGATGGGTGCAAGGCCTATCGAGGGATCACTTTGTAAGTTATATAAAGATCTGTTCACTATGCTGTAGACCTGAAACTAATGTAATATTGAATGTTAATTCTAATTGGAAAAAAAACACACAATCCAGAGGCCTGGCTTAAAAGTGAGAATTTGGGTATGAACAAAACAAGAAACAGGAATTAGGACAAAGAAGAAACTCTGGTAAAACATAGCAGAATATTTTATATTAAGTTAACAGGTAGCTGCTTTGGGGAATAGATAAGAATGTTTTCACTATTTTTATTGTTTTATTAGGGAACAAAGTATGGGCCTATGGAGACATCTGATTACAATCTTTATTTGGGACCTTGATGGACAAGTTTTGCCTAGTCTTTTAGATAAATAAGTGAAATAACATATACATAGAAATTAAGTAAATATATATGCATGCACACATATGTAGATAAAATATACATACGTCCCAGACCAGTGCTACTAAAAATGTGGTCTGCAGTTTGTTGTGGGTCTGTGATAGATAAGAGAAATTGAGAGTAAGCATTTTGAAATTTAATAGCAATTTAACATTGTTATAACCTTGTGTTTCTTATATTTTATAAAAGTACAGTTCTGTGATGCATTGGAAACCTAAAAAATAATTTATTTCATTATCGGGTGATCATTGTTTTCTTTGCTTAGAATGGGTATTTATATGTTAATTTGTTTTATGCAGGGTGTAGCTGGGAATCCTATGGTGAAATCTGTGCTTGATAAAACAAAACATTCTGTAGAAAGCATGATTACAACGCTGGACCCTGGCATGGCTCCATATATCAGTATGTACTTAAGATAGACTAGCATCTGCCATGTATTTTAAAAGTATGTGCTAATGTTAGCCATTAATTGGAAATCCACAGGTCTTAAAATTGGTAGAAATCCTCTTAATAGTCTTATATTGATTGTCAAATATTAGTCTTGGTATTTTTAATTCATCTTTTTCTTAATCACCATTAAATGCATTTTGAAAACTCCTCAGAATAAACTTTGGAGGAGTAAAAACAGTATGAATTACTAGTATGCGTACTTACTGAATTTACGTGTAACTGTGACTAGTCACTTGCTTTATATGACTTTTACTTTATTCACTGTTGATAATTGAAGTGATGCTTTGTTTATATTTGGTTTTGACATTTCTTCAGTTATCTATTTTAAATAAGTATATTTATGTTTAACTCAGTAATAATATTTTTAGAGGAAGTTAATCTATTAATAATACTGTAGATTACTGTAATTACTTGTTGTGAAAGCTGTTTTATCCATTTTTGAATCTTCATTACCAAGAATCCTCCAGACAGTTGACATAGACGTGCAGTCTGCCCTTTAATTTTTAATGTACATGTCCAGTATGTGAAAAAATATAATCGTTTAGCAGTATCAGTGACCAGTTATTAGTAATTCTGTTTAAGGTAATTTACAAACCAAAGCTGTGTACCAGGTATCTGAATATAGGTTTTTAATGGCAATAAAAAGTCAATAGTTTTGTTGTTTTTTAAAAATATATTTTATTGATTTTCTACAGAGAGGAAGGAAGAGGGATAGAGAGTTAGAAACATCAATGAGAGAAACATCGATCAGCTGCCTCCTGCACACCCCCCACTGGGGATGTGCCCGCAACCAAGGCACACACCCCTGACCGGAATCAGTCCCCAGGCCGATGCTCTATCCACTGAGCCAAACTGGTTAGGGCAAAAAGTCAATAGTTTTAATGAGTCTTGACTAAGTTGGTAGTTTACTATGTAGTAAATGTCAAGATCTAACAATGGTAAGTACCAATTGTTAAATGCTTGCTCTGCCAGGCACTGATTGTACCAAGAGCTCTGCAATGTAGGTATTATTTTCCTCAAGTTTTAGATGAGGAACCTGGGTTCAGAGAGATTTAAGTTATCCTAGGTCATACAGCTTGGTGGAACTAGATTAAACCCATATTCAATTTTTGACAACTAACCACTTTGCTTCCCTTGAATCAGGAATTAAATCAGCTTAATTATTTTTGGAGTTTATACCTGCTAAAGGACTTAGAAATCAGGCCCTACCATGCATATTGATTTTACATATTCATAATAATCAAGTTTGACAATGAACATATCATGATAATCTCCACAAGCTCCTATTTTGAATGAGAGAAAGAATTTTTGGAGCTCTTGCTCTTTTAATGGGTACTGTATTAGACTGTGAAAGCCATTATTTTATGTATTCTTAGAGCAAGCCCTGTGAGGTGATAGGTACTTTTCTATAAAACAAGTTCAGTGACTTCCACAAAATAATGATGCTAGAAAATGATAGTTAGGACTATAATCCAAGACCATTTCTCAAGCCAGTAGTCTGCATGACATCAAGAAAAAGTAAAAAAAAAAAACCCAAGGGTGGAGGAAGAGATACAAAGTGAAGTTTATATTATTAGATAACATAACATATAATCTTAATCAGCTTTAAAAAGTAATACTGAGTGTGGAAAAGCAGACACTGTCTTGACAGCAAAAGCAAGACCATTCTTATCTAATAAAACAAAGTGAAACGATATTTTTACTCAGATATTCTAGAAATCATTTGATTTAAAAATTTTAAATGCATCATAAAGGCACAAGAGCTATTAGAAATGCTCTAATATATTTTAACACAGTTTAACTTTCTACATTCTTTTAATTAGTTCTCCCTTTGCTATGAAAGGCCACGCTAAGTGAAAGCTTAGTGGAGTAGTACTCAGCTAGAGTCAAGAAAAGTCTCATATGGAAGAAAAAAACAAGAAAAAAGTATGTTTCCTCTTCTCTCCTATGTGAGCTATTGCTTTTAGGTCTTAGTAACGTCTGATAAAAAAAAAGTGGGGGGGGATCCATAATAAAAAACTCAGATACTTAGAAAATATTTTCAACTGTTTCAGAAGATATTTATTAGGAAAACCATAGCATCGTTTCTGGGGCAAAATATTTTACAATACAAATGGCTTTCTTAAGAAATCTCTCTTACCAGAGATAGCCTAATGCCAAGTAGCAAAGTATGCTGTGCTTAGAACCAGGCCTTTGAATTCAGTGTATCACGAAATGTTAGATCAAGATCTTAAAAGTAATTAGGCACATTTGATTAAATTACTCTAAATAGTACACAGGTTTTTAAAATTGCAATATTAAAATTTTTAAATTCATATTGCTTTTAGCCTTTTTAAATTTCAAGTTTTATAAAAGTTGGCACTTCATTTTTTTAATATATACTTGCATTATTTGTATTAGGTCAGTAATAGATGTATAATTTATAAATACCCATTTATTTGTGGTATATATTTTTTTTTCAGTGATGGGGATGTATAATAAAACTTCATCTCCCATATTTTAAACTATTTTCTAGATAAAAAGCATATTTCATGGTAGTCCTTGTTTAGTGCAGAACTTCTGTGCAAGTCTTTGACAGGTTACATCAGTAATAGTCATTTTCTATAAATAGTGTCCCAAATATGTGACTTGTATTTCACAAGTCAGATATTTAATTCCTGTGATTGCTGAAGGATTGGCAACTGTGGCATCCATGTGTTGTTAGAATTTTGTGTATGATAGATATGTCTCTAGTAATTAACAGTAGAAAAACCATTTTGATTTACAGCCTTTAAAATGCAATAAATGTGTCTATCTAAAATTTAATCAGAAAATGAAACTTGGCTAAATTAGTAGAGCAGTATAATAGAAAATCTGTTTTCATAGTGGCCCTAACATCATTTCTCAAATAGATATCTATGGAACAGGAGCTATTATTAGATGCTAAAAAAGTGTTCCAAGAACAGATTAAGCATGGAAGTACTGGGTTATAGTCATGATTTTTAATTGTTGGATTTCTCAGAATCTTTATGCTAATGTACCTTATAAATTTCCAAGAAAGAAATATGGTGTGCAGCATCTCCCTAGCTGTTTGACTATATCACGCTGTCATCAGGGAGAGCTACTGATATGTTCTGGAACAGTAGTTCATAGAATACAGAACAGTGTGGTGCTGTATTTGTGGCAGATATGATAACCAGAACCATTAGAAGGTATGTGCCATCTTCTGCTTGCAAATAGATTCCCTTAGATAATGCATTAGTTCTCATTTTTAAAACGAAGGAAAATTTGGTAGTTCTGGGCTAAGCTCTTGTTGGAATAAAATGCCTATATTGCATTGTTCTATGAGCTTAGTAATTATGCAAATGAAATGTCAACCTATCGTAGTAATTATGAGAATTTGATTATTTTAATTTGGAATTGAAATTTTCTGCTGTTGTTTGTAGAATCTGGAGGTGAACTGGATATTGTAGTGACCTCAAATAAAGAAGTAAAAGTTGCTGCTGTCCGAGATGCCTTCCAGGAGGTCTTTGGCTTAGCTGTGGTTATGGGGGAAGCTGTTCAGTCCAATATTGCCCCACAACCAGTGGGCTATGCAGCTGGATTAAAAGTAAGTAATAGAAGGAAGACCTTCTGGGTATTGAAACTGGCAGTAATCTCTTCATAATTCTGGTAATAATCCTGTGGTCTGTATGGAGCTAAGTGGTTTTTACATAATGAAATGATCAGCTTGGTTTTAATTGGACAACTCTGTAGTGTTATGAAGATATAGTGGACTTTTAAAGAAACCTAAGGTGGGTTTTTAATTGGGGGAGTAAACATGCAGAGAGCACAAAAAGAAAATGAGTCCTAAAAGAGATATTCTTAACCCAGTGTTAACATTCAAATCAATTACTAAAGAGATAATAACCCTCAAATCCCATAAGCTTTTTATTACTATCACTATTAGTAATACTTTACACTTATGAGTATGTATTTCTTCAGGGTTAGGAGCCTCTAATTACAGCATTTTTGCCAACCAGTTAATAAATAACTTTGTTTTATCTCTGCTATGTTTAAATACACCTTAATGTATATATTTAAATCATTAACATTAAACTCTCATAGTTAACAGCACTAAATCCATGACTCTTAGTATAAGTCCTTAGAGTACAGGGTAAGCTCTAGGGCAGGGGTCCTCAAACTTTTTAAACGGGGCCAGTTCACTGTCCCTCAGACCGTTGGAGGGCCGGACTATAGTTTTAAAAAAACCAAGAACAAATTCCTATGCACACTGCACATATCTTATTTTGAAGTAAAAAAACAAAACGGGAACAAATACAATATTTGTATTTGCATGTGGCCCACAAGCCGTAGTTTGAGGACCCCTGCTCTAGGGTCTTTGGGTATCTTACTTTAGTACTGAGATAATTCAATGTGGCCTCTATACCACCTAATTTTTGATCCCCTATACTTTTAGAAAATAAAGGTAAAATTCCATTCTCTGGATATTGGTAGGGAATGATATTAAAATTTCTATAATTGTGACTCCAAAAGATGCCACGTTTAATTAATGTGGTCAGAGGATAAAAGAGGTGAATATAACCCCCTGTTCATTTTCTCTTCTGGATTCTGTAAACAAACAAAAAAAGAATTAGACTTGTCTACCTAGCTCATTTCTATATCTCTAATAGGTGCTAATTAATTTCAGTGAAATATTTTATGACCCTTACGAAGTATAAAGTCCAGTGCTGTAGGATACTAAGAAATGAACAGTTTCTGTTCCCTGGAAGCATAAAATCTAGGAATATTTTGTTATAGTGCATAGCTGAGATATCACCTTCAAAGAGTTAGGGGTGAGTCTCTAAACATACCCCTAATCCATTAATAGTTTTTACTGAATTAACATTTATTTCAACTTTATAATTAAAATTCAGCCATAACTACCTCTTGGGAGGAGTGAATTAGGTAAATTTATAATATCCAGTATAAAGAACTAAGTTTATCTTATTCATTACATTTTTTTTTTCCAAAAATTACTTCGATTCTGAACATTAGCAATACAGGCCTTCAGAAACTCTTTCTTTTTTTCAGTTTTTCCTCTAGTTAAGTTCTTACTACAGGCCTTCCAGGGGTGGGCAAACTTTTTGACTCGAGGGCCACAATGGGTTCTTAAACTGGACCGGAGGGCTGGAACAAAAGCATGGATGGAGTGTTTGTGTGAACTAATATAAATTCAAAGTAAACATCATTACATAAAAGGGTACGGTCTTTTTTTTTTTTTTTAGTTTTATTCATTTCAAACGGGCCATAGTTTGCCCACGGCTGGGTTAGACACTGTGCTATATACTAGAGATGTAAGAGTTAAGAGTAAGCAAAAATACACAGTCTTGATTTAATTGTAAACATCTTCTTTCATCCTTCATCTTTATAAGTTAATATCTTTACTCATTCTCATCTAGTTTTCACTTTCTGTTCTTTATTTCAGTTATCTCTGAAATAAATTCAGTTGTCTCTAGAAGTATCTTAGCTTTCTCAGTTTTCACTTGAATGGGAATTGATCCCTTAATCTCATTCACTATTAAGCTCTGCTGTCTAAAATAAAAATAGGTATTTAACTATGGCTAATTTTATTTAGAAATAACTTTTTATCTGGCTTTTTGAACACATTACTCATGATCACTGTTTATGAAGTGATTCAGATAAAAATAGTAAACAGCAACCTTGTTTTCATTAGTCCAGTTTTTAGTTTTCTGTAAAAAGATTATTTAATTCATGATCTTGATTTATCTGCATAGTGTTTGTAGCCCCTCAGTTTTGTTTCACTAATGGTGATATTTCTGAATAAAACTTAAAACTGTCACCTTAAAGTTATATTTAAAGAGAATCAGAAGAATTTACTATTGATATGATTGCCTACTTAGAAAATTTGAGAGAATCAACTAAAAATCTGGGATTGATAAAACAATTTTATTCAGTAGGAGGGCTCCTTGCCAGGTTAACATTAAAAAAACACAGTTTTCTTATATTAGTAATAACCATTTAGAATCCTTGCCAGGTTAACATTAAAAAAACACAGTTTTCTTAGTAATAACCATTTAGAACGTAGAATATATAAATAATTCATTTTACAGTAGCAACCAAAACAATAACGCAAATTGGAATAATTTGGAAGGCATACTCCAAACCGAGTACTGAGAGGAACACGATTGTACTTTTTCACCTTTTGTCTTCTGCATTGTGTGAATGAGTGTTTGTATAAATGTATGCATGTATTGCTTGTATAATCATAAATTAGTATATTTAGTAATGAATAATTTGAAATGGTTTCTAACCTACCCTGTTATTCAGGGTGCCCAGGAACGGATAGATACCTTGCGTCGAACTGGAGTGATCCATGAGAAACAGATTGCTGTGTCAGTAGAAAACTTTATTGCAGAATTGCTTCCTGACAAGTAAGAGGCTTTTTTTTTTCTTGTAATGAGAACTCTTAAGATCTTTCTTAGTAGCTTTCAAATATACAATACAGTATTATTCATTGTAGTCACCACGTTGTACATTATATTCCCATGACTTATTTTATAACTTGAAGTTTGTACCTTTTGATCCCCTTCACCCAGCCTCTGGCAAGCACCAATCTGCTCGTTGTATGTCGTGTTCTGTGTTTTAAATTTGTTTTTAGATTCCATATATGTCAAATCATACAATATTTGTCTTTCTCTTAGTTCCCTGAGCATAGTGCTCTCAATGTCCATGTGCCTTGTCATAAATGGCAAGATGTCCTTTTTTATGGCTGAATTATATTCCAGTGTCTGTGTACACATTTTCTTTACCCATTCATCCTTCAGTGGACACTTACATTGCTTCCATACCTGGGCTCTTTTAAGTAATGTCGCAGTGAACATAGGGGTACATACATCTTTTAGTGTTTTATAAATACTCTGAAATAGATTGCTGGATCATATGATATTATTTTTCATTTTTTGGGACACCTTCATACTGTTTTCCATAGTGGCTGTACCAATTTACATTCGTACCAACAGTTTGTAAGTGTTCCACCTTTTTGATAATAGCCATTTCAACAGGTGTGAGGTGATATTACATATGGTTTGGGTTTGCATTTTCTGGATGATTAGTGATGATAGGGCATCTCGTGGTTTTGATTCTGGTTAATTAAAATGCTGGTGGTGTTATAGTTGACTTCACTTAAGTCAACTTACAAGTATCTTTTAAATAGAAAAAGTTTTCATTGTGAAGAATTTATCAGGAATGAGGAAAGGATTTGTTATTCCCTCTGAGCTTATTTTTTAATTTACTAATAACTTTTCCAGTTGGCTATATAGAAAAAATTTTCCATATTTTTTCAAGTGACATATTAAAAATATTATGCATGACAGACTATTTGAACTTGATCAGTAGAGATTGCCGTTTTTCTTTCTCCCTGGGGCAGGGAGTAAGGTGAAGTTGAAAGATTAGTAGGAAGAAGAGGGGAAGGAGAACTGAAAGTTTCCTCAGCCAACAGCACTAATAGTGAAAGAAATGGAAGAGGTTTGGTGGGTATGATAGATATTGTAGTTTTAGATTTATTGAGTTGAAAGGGATATCTGGGTGGACATGTTTAGGAGCATGATAGTTTTTGGAGAACAAAGATGACCTTGGAGTTCTTCTAACGTGTATTCACTAGCACCACAGTGAATACACAAGAACTTTCCATGATAAGTAATTTTCAATTATTTTTTTATTATTATTCCTCTTCTTGGAATTAAGCCAACAGGAGAATATTATATATTGTTTTTATGGGTTTTCTTGAAAATTGATTAGAAAAACATTTCCTTTTTGAAATCCGTTAATATTTTATCAAAATGATATTACTTATACCTCTTATTTAGCACATAACTTGAAACTCATATTCTGTTGCAGATGGTTTGATATTGGCTGTTTGATAGTTGAAGATCCTGTCCATGGCATTCATCTAGAAACATTTACACAAGCTACACCAGTGCCTTTGGAATTCGTACAACAGGTTAGTTTTTTCCATTTCATTATGCTCCAGGGAAGCTTTCAATATTGTTTCAAAATAAAAATGTGGGCAGATTTTTTTGTTGAAAATAGCCTCCTAGCTTTTTTTCCTTCTATGTTTTAGTACCTCTTTACTTTTGTTTTCCAACTGTCTTTACAAAGGTAATATAGTTAATCACTATTTTCCTTACCCTAAGATGAAAAGAGATTTACCTCTTCTGGTTTTATGTTCACCTTTCCTTTATTTTCCCTAATACCTTTGTCTTGATCTTCCTCTTTGGTGGTAAGTAGGAACCTTAGTGTAAGGCATATGTCTTTACCTATTCACATTGTTTCTATACTGAGGCATAAATGTGTAATGATTTTGATTCTTTCTATATTTTTGTTACTTTTTTCTTGAACAAATGGAATATAAATGCTTATTTACATTGGAATCTTTGTACTCTTAAATGGTATTTTTGTTGACTTTTTTTATCACATTTGTACTCATGCACATTGTCATCTCAAAACTTTATTGGATTCTCTCCCAAGAAAATACATGTATGTACTCACATATAAGTTGGGCAGATGTGTGCATAGAATCCCTGAAAGCAACTTGTGGCTCTCGTAGTAATAGGTTTACAGCTTACATGGGGACTAAGAATTGATGCTTGGAATTTTGAAGTTATTGAACCTTTTATTTATACCGTAATGTATTTTCAGAAGTACAAGAAAGCATTTTTGTAGATGTTAACATTAAACTCTAATATGAAGGTGATTACAAGATTGTAAGCAAATATTATGCATATTGTTATACCAATAAATTAGAAAAATTGGACAAAATGGTCGATTTAGTAATTAGGTTGAACCATACGGAATTGCTGTCTAAAAAAGTCAAATATTGGCAGTTTCATATGATTCAACCTTAATCACCTCAATGAAGCTTTCCAAAGTCATCTCATTAACCTAATACATCTTTATAGCTCTTCACACTTAGGAAATTACAAGAGTTTTGGGAGCTCTGCCAAAAATTGGGATGAAGACTATGTATTTCTTATTAGAGTCTACCACTGTGGTCTTGAAACAGGCACATTAAGCTCCCATTCAGTTATTAATAACTTCTAGTCTTTCATATATGAAAATGTCTCCCAGGGTGGGGCCACTCAGGTTTGCAGGTTTCTATTTGATCTGTTCAGGTTCCCAAAGCAAAGGCGATGTCAGCAATATAGGGCTTCACCCTTTCAGGCACCTGGTACAAGCATGCCTCATAGATAGTGCAGGTTAGGTTTCAGACCACCACAATGTTTTCTGGTGCATATAAAAGTAAGGTTTACACAATACTGTAGTCTATTAAGTGCAATAATATCAGTATGTCTATAAAAAATAGTGCACATACCTTAATTTAAAAGTGCTCACCATTATCTGAGCCTGTTGGAAAAATGGTGCTGATAGATGCAGGATTGCCACAGACCTTAAATTTGTAAAAAAACAAACAATATCTGTAAAGCAGGAAGTGAAGTGAAATAAAACAAGGCATGCATGTATAATGAAGCTAAGAGACAGTATCATCTCTTGCATTGAGCCTTTTGAGTTGTTAATGTAATATTCGATTTCCCTCATTACATAAACCATTTATTCATTCTCTTACCCATAGCAACTATTTTTCCTTCTCTCCATTTATACCCAAACTTTTCTACCTTTGGAAAGGACATTAGGTTTGGCCACTGTGCTGGTCCATAGAGCAGGCAGCAATCAGAGTCTAGCAAGTGTATTTCCCTCAGCCCATATGGGCATCCTTTTAACAGGCTAGGTTCCCATTGCCCTCCTGCCTGACCATAGGGCCAGGCCACTGCCTGTAAATCAGTAAAAACTGAAACATAGGGGATTTTACCACTGTTCAATTTTTCCATCACTATTAGGAAAACAGCATGCACTTCAGCCCACCCTGCTGATTTGTTTTCACTTTTAGTCAGAGTGGTGGCCTTCCAAATGGGATGTTGTCCATTCACCTTGGAACTGCCATTTGTAAACCAAGGAGTCTTTCACCTGAGAGCTGTTCAGAGGGCACTGTCCATGCAGCAGTTGGTTCCAGCAGCTCCTCGGGTGTCTCCAGAATTGGTCCCACAAGCAAAGAGACTCCCTGCTTGCATCTCCTCCTCGCATTCCCTCGGCAGCACGATACTGTGTAAACCACTTCCATAACATTGTATGGAAATAGAACTATGAAAGCTCATTGTTCCAGTCACTGCCATCCCATTAGGGCATTTCTTCAGCAGCATCAGTATATGTCCTTCAGTCATAAGTGTAGCTTCAATTAAGAATGTCTAATAACAAGGTAGCAAATGCCCCGCAATTGGAAATTCTCTGATCCAAAGTCCAAGTAGTCATTGCTGGGAGGCACAGGTTTTTGCCATAAGCCCCATGGGTTATGGCAAAGAGATTTTTGCCCCTACCATCACTCCAGCTTCTATTCTATACTGTGTGGGCTGATGCAGTTGTACTGATTCCCATATAGCATGTCTACTTAACTGCTTGAAAGGCAGATGTACATGCCTCTGTTTTACATTACTAGGTAGATGAAACATTCCCCAGTGAAATACAGTGTCCATCCCCAAAGTAGTCAGGTAAAGGAAACACAACGATTTCATGTAAAGCCCATTCAAATATACCAATTCTACTACAAACTTGCATGGTAATTCCATCAACTCTTATGCTTCTAACTGTAGTCTCTGTTAGGACTTTATCAACAGGGTTTGGTTTTATAATACTAGGTAAGGAAAGTGTTCTCTAGCAGACATAATATCTGTTCCCATAAAGCATCCAGGTAGAGGGACACAACTTATTTACATATACCTGCTTAAACATTGAGCTTTCATAATTCTATCAACCTTTGCATTTATATTATTTCAATCTAATTATAGCACTCGTCAGGGGAGTCTTGGAAACCTCTTCACCCCATGACCGTTTTATTCACTACTGTGACAGAAGTCTCTGTAATGATAAATATTAGAAACTTTGTCATTATAAGGGTGCCTCAGGGGTCAGCAAAAAAAGTAGCCTGCAGCCAAATCTGGCATGCCTGCCTGTTTTTGTAAAATTTTATTGGAACACACTCCTGCCCATTTATTTACATGTTGTTTATGGCTGCTTTTGTACTTCAGTAGAATGGACTAGTTACAGTAGAAGCCATCCTGCCCACAAAGCTTAGACTGCTTACTCTCTGGCCCTTTTCAGAAAAAGTTTGCTGACCCCTGTGCCAAATGTCTGACCATTGCAGAAGGATCATTTTTATTTTATTTTTAGGAATACATATTGGAAAAAAACAGATATAATGCTCAAAGAACAAAGCATCAAAACTGTATAAACTAATATCAAAACTTAGGACATATTGCCAAGTAAAAATAAGCTGCATCTAGTATGATCAGTATGTTTACATATGCACACATGTATACTTTAACATTATATATATTAATAGAAAACAAAACACAACAAGCTGTTATGTGGTTAACTCTGAAGAGTGATACTGAAAGAGTGTCATTTGCTTTTTACTTTGCCTTTTTTCTATTGTCATTGTTTATTTTTTTGTCATGAGCTTCAAAACTAAGATACCAACGCATGTGCCTTCCTTTTATTCCTGCTATTAAGCTTTCCCTGTTCCTTTTTTATCTGTCCTAAGAGTTTAATTCTGTGCTTCCTTACTGTTGGAGTTTGAATGATGTAATGATGCTATCCTGGACTGCATATTATTTTATAGGTATTAACTTATTCACATGAAAACAAAGTTTCTGGGGGTACTCTACAAATTAATCGAACTATCCTTTTCTGAATGGATTAAAGCCTAATGTGCATGCAATTTCCTTCTTTCTGGTAGGAATGTCATAACTAAACAGATACAATATTTCTATTTTAGTACTAATTTTATTTAGTACTAATTTTATTATGAACCTGAAGTGACACCGAATGTAGCAGTAGAGCTTAGGTTCTCTGACACTGAGCTGTTAGATATAGTCATTAGACTTAAGACCTTGATTATATTTTAAACAAATTAGCTGTGTGCAATATCGTGTTGATTCTTTCATAGCTTTGGAACTTCATACAGTTGGCAGCATTAGCTGTTTCTCAGGGTCTATCATCAGTATTAAGAGCAACCTGAGAGACTTTGAAATGTCACAACTATTTCCAATGATTTTTTAAATGTATTATAAATAATATAAATTTCATTTTTCTATAGGCTCAAAGTCTAACTCCCCAGGACTACAACCTGAGGTGGTCAGGCCTTTTGGTGACAGTGGGCGAAGTCCTGGAAAAGAGTTTAGCAAATGTCAGCCGGACTGATTGGCACCTGGCTTTCACTGGCATGTCACGTCGACAGATGATCTACAGTGCAGCCAAAGCAATAGCGGGCATGTATAAACAGCGCCTGCCCCCCAGGACCGTGTGAGAGACCTACCTAGATCCTGAGACATCCCCACCTTGAGCTTGGTGGTGAAGAAGACATTTACTTTCTGAAATTGGATAGCATCAGTGATCCAGCAGTTTTGGTAATTTTCCTATAGGCTGCAGTTTTTCTTTCCCTTTAAAAAGCCATGGTGTCATGTCAGCAAATGAAAGGAAACAGATCCTTTCTATGATCATTTAATTACCTGTACTATAGTTCTCAAATATATAAGTATTTTTATAGGACAATTTGATACCAGATTTAGAGTACAAATTCATGTGTTAAGAAATGTAACTTGATATGTACTTGATTATTTTGTTTTTCATAACATAGTTAATGACATACTCGTTGAATATTCTTTAAAAGCATTGTTTCTTTTAATTCAAGATTAATCTGTCATTCTTTGAAGGTTTTTTTGTGTGTGCACATGATCTCAGGTCTGATACTGAGTGTCTGCTCAACAATTTAGCCTAAAACACCTACCTGTAGAGAGATGGTGCACATTTTGTTTGCATAGTTTTAACATGGGCCAAAACAACAGAATGGATCATTTTCTCTTTGGTTATCATGTACACACATAGTGTGAATAATTCTATATTTTTCTTTTTAAATAACTTCTGGCATCTTACAGATTTATACTCTGATCATTAGGGTAATACATTTTACTTTTTGATTGTTATGTGACAACTAAATGGCAAATGATTCGAGTATTTTTTAAATCAGAAGCATTTGAGTTATTTTCTTAATACTGCTATTCAGTATTTCCTAGTAAATTCTGACAACAGCCATTATTTCTAATTCCATTCATATTTTTCCATTGTAATGGAGAAATTTTGGGAGGGAATTACTTTGTTGTTAATGGGATTGTATGCTTCTTATTTAATTAAGGTTACTTCTGACTAAGTTTGCCTTAAACACTACTTTTCCAACTTGCTGCATTCTGCCTTTACTTTTAATGGAATTTTTCAAAGAAACTTTTATATGCAATCTGGTTTATTTAGTCCATTATCTTGGTACTTAGTGAAACTTTTTCTCCCAAATATATTTACCATTTTTGTGTTTTATATAAATCAAAAATAAATAGTTTGTCTTACACTTTTAAACTCTATATATGCAAGTTTAAATAACACTTGAGATAGTTTCTTATATAAATGTAATTTATTTACTCTTCTATGCAGTTTTTAGAGATAAAAGAATTAGCACAATCTTATAAAGGGTGTTAAAGCTCTTCTTATCCTGCACTGTCATTACACATAAGGTTTGCTTTGTATTTTTGCAGTTTTTTACCTGGGGCTGAATGAATAAGTATTCAGTGAAATTCAAGCTGTCATTCAAAGTAATGAGAGAAAAGAGATGAAACCAGTTGTGGCATAATAGGGACAGAATACTTATTTCCTCTTTGTTTTCTCCATCTTTCATGAATAAGAGAAGCCTTTCTCTACCATTTGTATTTGTCCTTTATTTTCAAAAGCTCCCTTTTCTAATAGTATTTTATCATGGCATGGCCTGATGACTAATTATGATTATGGATGAAGGAAAGTATTCCTAATTAAAATACTTTTGCTACTTCCCTTCTATTACTGGGAAATTTTACAGATCCTAAAAGTAACTCATTATCTCTCTCACACCACAGCAGCGTTAGCAAGGCAGTCTGCTAGTGTTGGTGTTTTGGTGCTCACCATCGATTTAAGACCATGGTCCTTTTACCCATCATCCAACTTCCCTCTGTTCTTTTCTCTTTCTGCTCATCTCCTTACAACTCCCACACTAGCATTTCTTAGAGTTGGACTGGGAGCTGTTGGCTTTTTTCCTCCCTCAAGCTTCTTAGGAAAGAAAACTTGTCTTCCACACAGTCCTTTACTGCTATTGTTTTGGTCAAGTTTGTGATTTATTTATTTTTCCTGAAGTGCTCCAGTAACTACTTACTGAATTTTATAAGTTTATACATGTCTTCGTTTTAATTAGTGTGAAAGAGAACAGGTAAAAATGCAGGAAGAGTAATTTAACATCAACCTCAGTTGACAGAGGTACTCAGATTATTCAATTCAAGATCTTCCTGTTACTAAGTTTATCCAGCAACCCTGGACCTAGAACTGTGCCACAGACTTATGGAGTTGGAAAGCTTTAGGCAATACTAGTGGTTTTCTCTTCTGATCTCTTATCATTATTACTTCCCCACTCTTTGTTCCTCTTTCTCTCAAGGAGTAATGAAGTAAGAAATTGAGATGAATGAATATATACAAAATGGTAGTAGATAAGAGTACATACAGATGAACAAGTAGGTAAGAGTACCGATGAACATGTATTATGTACATCTATTAAAAATTATGTAAATTAGTGACATACTCAGGGTCAACTAAATTACTTTAATATGTTGTTGGATTTATTTTATTCCTTGGCTAGAAAAAATTCTTAACAGGAATTTATGTTCTGTGAAGCCAAACTTTCTATGTTCTAGAACAGTGGTTCTCAACCTTCCTAATGCCACAACCCTTTAATACAGTTCCTCATGTTGTGACCCCCAACCATAAAGTTATTTTCGTTGCTACTTCATAACTGTAATTTTGCTACTGTTATGAATCGTAATGTAAATATCTGATATGCTATATGTGTTTTCCGATGGTCGCGACCCACAGGTTGAGAACCGCTGTTCTAGAAGATGTTGAGTTATGCGTAAATTATTAAGAAACTTAGATTTTTACTCCCAGAATATGGTTTTTAAGGTACTATGCAGGATGATGTATTGGGTAATATCAATTTTGTAAGTATGTAAATATGACAAATAAATAATGCCTCTACTTATTTCCCAGAAGTGTACAGTGATTTTTTAAAATGCTTATGCATATTAATATTAAAAGGGCCCATATTCCCTTTTTTGTCTAAACTGGCAACTGGCTACCAAGGATTCCTATAGAAGAGCAACTTCAAGCACCATCTTTAAACATTCAGATATATCGGAGTTGCTAACTTTACGTTCATAGAACTCAGAATATTTAGGGGAGAAGATGCACTGGAGATAGAGTTAATAGGCCTGTGTTCATGAAGAGACCTGCATTTAATTTATCCTTGACCTTCATAGGTGTCATCTTTAAAGAAAAAAAAAAGTTTTAGTTGTTACTGTATTTGTCATTTGGAGCCTAGTAATCCCAGGAGGAAAGATTATTGTTTTGATTTGTCACAGGAAGGGGTATTGTAAAAGACACTGAAATATTGATTTGGGGGTTTTGTTTGCCAACAAAACAATATTGCTGTCAATAGACTAGAAAAACACCAGTTGAAGGCCCAGGAAAGGCCCTTTTATAGTTACATCTTTTTTCAGTATTAACTAGAGAAGAAAAAAGTTTTGGAAAGACAAAATTGGCAAGGCCATATGAAGGAGGTCTTTTAAATTATCAAGAATTTAAAGCAGTAAGAAAGGAAAGGAACTTACAAGTTCCTTTGTTGGTTACTCATTGGAGTAGGAACTTATTTTTATAGGTTAGATAACTGAAACATTAAGTTTCTTATCCAGTATCATCACAACTGAATTATAGAGATATAAGTCCAGTGGTGTGTGATTTACTCTATACCAGTGATTTGGCACAAGAATTTTAAAAACTTGCAGTACCTGACTATTCAGGGGCACTGACCTTTTCCCGTGGATTGTCAAATAAAAGAATGACAATAGCCACACAACAATCAAAATTATACCTACTTTTGTAGCCAGATCAGCAAAAATAAAACATTTTTTGGTGTGCCGCAGAATTTTAGTAATGTAGTAGTATATATGTGAGATGAAAAGGGTTGAAAATCGCTACTCTAAACCATTCTCTTCTAAAACATCCTAAGTATTTGCTTTAGGAAATTATGGGTGCATAGTTAATCTTATGACTGTTGAATTCAACTTAACACATTTCGTACCGCTCAGGAGTTTTCTCATGTTTCGCGCGCCATCTGTTAAGGACCGCTCACGAGTGTTCTCGTTTTTCACGCCCATGGAAAAAGGAGCGGATCTAGATAATTATGTAAATTTTGTTTGGTCCCTCTTCATAAAGGAAAATGTTTTACGCAGTACCATACATTAAAAAAGTACTAGGAACTTTAATTGTTTAATTGTTTTTGTAAATAAAAATGTTATAATTATTGAAAAACAACACCTAAAGTGCATTATGATGATTTAAATAACGTGCAGTTTGCCTAAAAACGTGCGGTCCCTGGCGTGTGTCTTAGAGATTTCTATGCAGTATGCAATGTGTTAATCACATAATAGCAGGAAGACTTAGCTCTAGTATACTTTTAATTTTGTAATATACTAGAGGCCTGGTGCACGAAAATCATGCACTCCGGGGGGAGGTCCCTCAGCCCACCCAGCCTGTGCCCTCTAGCAGTCTGGTAGCCCCCAGGGGATATCCAACTGACGGCTTAAGCCCGCTCCCCATGTCAGACATCCTTAGTGCTGCCGCTGAGGTGGGATAGGCTCCTGCCACTGCTGCTGCACTCGCCTGGCTTCTGGCTGAGCAGCACTCCCCCCGTGGGAGCGCACTAACCACCAGGAGGCAGCTCCTGCATTGAGTGTCTGCCCCCTGGTGGTCAGTGCACGTCATAGCAACTGGTCGTTCCACTGTTAGGTCGATTTGCATATTAGCCTTTTAGTATATAGGATTCTTTAAGGAAAACTTATTTTTATCCCCTATTTTTTTGTTTTTAAACGTGGTGTTTTTGACTTTGCTAATCATATGAGAATATATCTGAGATATTTGAATATTCTCCCAAATTTGGGAAACCATAAACTAACTAGGTTTACCTTTGAGTATAATTTTTAGGATTAAAGCCAAAAATGTTCTAATTGTTAAACTACTCTTCAAGCAAGGTACTTTTAAAATAATACCTTTTAAAATATTTTGAGAACCACTCTTATAATACGCTTCCTGACTCATTCTGTATGTCCTAAGATATTTTAAAGAGAATGATGTCACCAAGATGGTGACAGGTTGTTCCTGACTTTGCTCCCCCTCACAGGAAGAGCTAACAACTATTCAATTACAAGACACCACTGAGAGAATCCTAGAACATGGGTGTGAGGCTGAAGCACCTTCCTGCATCAAAAACCAAGGCAGACTGATTTTCAAGGCTAAGAGGAAGGACTGTATGTTGACCACATTGCCCTTCCCCAGGCCAGAATAGTACTATGCCAAGAAGTGACCCCCTGGACCTACAGTTTCCTGCAGTGGGAAAGAGCTCAGGGTGGACATCCAGCTCTCTCAGAGTTGGGGGTCACTTAGAAGCCCCCATTTCAGTTTCGCTTCCTGGAGATTGCAGAGAAATCTGCAGAACTTAACCACTGGGAACCTGTAACAGAGGAGTGGGGATGGACTTAACAACCACCAGCATTCGGATCTTGGCATACCGAGTTCCTACCCGCAGCACCTAAGTAGTTATCCAAACCAGTGTCTTTGCTCATCTGCAAAACCAAGCTGGTGGCACAGTCTGACCAGGGAACTTGGCAGGGTGCAGATATGCCTGGATTGGATCCCCAGATGAATAGCCTAACCTGCTCTCATCTAGGCAGGGGAGCTGAGTCATAGTCCAGCTCACTGCTGAGTGTAACTCCTGGCTCCATCTGAACAGAAAAGCAGGCAAGAGTACCTGTTCAATGCTTGGAACAGAGTACAGAATGCACAGTTGATTATGCAAAGAACAAAGCCAATGCTGGGTATGGAGTGTTATCCCCCTCCTCCCGGTCAGGGGAAATAATTCACTTCTCACCATAAAGTCTGGTCTGATTGGGAAAACCTGGGAGGAGGCTGCTTGGAGCTGGCCCTCCCCTCAGGGGAGCTGAGAATATCCCCACTCCCCATGCAGTGAAGCTTCCAGGCCTGTCCAACCAGAAAGCCTGGCGGGACACCTGGAAAGCTAAGTAGCCCATCAACACTTGAGCAGAGAGTCCAGCACGCAGAGCTGACAGCGCAGAGCAAAGCCAGGAAGCCTGCTTATCCAGGAACGAGACATGGGTCAGCTTGGGTCCAGGCCATAAACAGAGTCTTTCTGGCTTTGGAGTTGGTTCTCTCAATGCCTGGTCAGGGAAACTAATTTGTAACCTCACGCATTGCTGAATACAGTTTTCAGCCCACCCAACCAGGGAACTTAACCAGAGCACAGGGGAAACTGTGAAGCCCATCTAACAGCCCTACTTACAGTAGAACTTGAACAGAGAGCATAGCCAGTGGCTTTCCCCATTTGCAGAGCAAAACTGATGGCCTTGTCTGTCCAGGGAATGTAATGCATACCCTTGCCTGATCAAGTCCCCAGTCAACAAGCTGTGCTTGCTTTGGGCCCCATTCTACTGCCTCACCAGGGCTTGGAGGCTAATTTATAGTCCCTTCTACTACTGAGTATAGAAGCCAGTCCCGAATGTCTAGTAAGCCTGACCAGATAACCTAGGCAACTGGTGGAACACATCCTACCACCTCACTTGGGCAGAGAATCAATCCAGTAGTCTTACCTAAGTGTTTTCAAACAGTGGCATCTCTGCCCCACTCGGCTTAGAGCTGAAGGAGTGGGCTCTCTCATAAATAGACTCTGATAACACTCTCTACTACCCCCAAGGGCGTTACCAGTAGACACACCCATAAACCCTCAACTGAGCTTCCTGGTGAAGAACTATCTCTGCCAAAGCAAACTTCTAAAGTCTGGAAGAAGAAATTACTCGAATGCACACATAACAAAGTAAGGAACTAAGAATCACGAAAAATCAGGTAACATGACACCATCAAAGGGAACTAATAGGCTTCAATAACTGACCCTAAAGAAATGGAAACCTATGAGCTGGAAGACGAAATTTCAGAATAATTTCCTTTAGTGAACTACAAGAACATAGACAACTAAATGAATTAGGAAAACAATGTTGAACAAAACAAGTTCAACTATGTAACAGAAACTCAAAAAAGAAAAACCCAAACATAAATCCTAGAGTTGAAAAATGCAGTGACTGAATTGAAAAATTCAATAGCAAGTTTCAAAAGCAGACTTGACAATGCGGAATAATCTAACCTATAATAGAGGACATTTGAAATTCTTCAGTCAGAGGACCAAAAATAGGAAAAGAAAGAAGCCTATAGAAACAACAGGATACCATCAAAAGAAACAATACCTGCATTGTGGAAATTCCAGAAGGAGAAGAAAGAGAAAGGGACAGAAAGTATATTTAAAGCATAGGCCTGGTGCACAAAATTCATGTATGGGTGGGGTCCCTAGGCATGGCCGGTGATCAGGGCTGATCAGGTTCCCCGCCTTCCCCCATCCTCCTTCCCTCACCGCCTATGTCCACTGCTACCCACCCCCAGTTCCCTGTCCCAGCCTGGCCGGGGGAAGGGATGAGGGGAGGGACCCAGGAGGTTGGCCGTCAGCCCCAAGGAGGGAGCCAGCCCTCGGCCCCCCTGGGAAAGGGGCTTCATCTGCTGCCACCCACCCCTAGTTCCCCATCCCAGCCCGGGGGCCCGGCCCTGATAGGGCGATCAGGGCCTTCCCGCCAGAGGGAGGGACTGGG